GTGAAACTCCGACGAAACAGTTTGTCACAGCCCCTCGTTTGTTGTCCTTTTCTCTCTCTCTGCCTACGGTTTTACCGGGCAGTTCTGTTTGTGACAATATATATATATATTACGACGTAAAAATTTGATTCACTTAGAGAGAAACGCCACCACCGATCGAACGCCGTTGATGGCAAAAACCAAGGGGGATAGCCCCTCGGCCCTCAACCCCATCGGCTTCCTCCCCGATGCTCCGCTGCTGTTTTACCGACACCCGCCGGCCTCGATCCTCGAACCTCCGTAACCCAATGCCGTAACCTATAGGGCTAAGCCCAAGCCTGAGACCAATACACGTCAAGTGTCCTATAAGGCGGTGCGGCGCTGCGTTCAGGGCCAGGGAAATTGGCCTCATCTCCGACTACAACCGTGCGCGCGGCCGCCCAACGTCTGCGCCGACCTACCAAAGTTGTACTACAGCCGCCACTCGTGCCCCTCCGCATGCCGAGACCTACCACAGTCACACTGTCGCCCTCGTCGCCGTCGTTGTCTCACGCGCGCTTGTCTCGGCCAACACACGAATCAAAGGGAAATATCCCTAGTTCCTACTTAATCAAAAATAAATAGGTATTAATAATATCATTAAACAGAACGACCGACGTTTGTGCCGACTTTGTGATCAACAACAAAAAGGAATCACGAGCGCCTCAAACTCGCGCGCCCCACGCACTCTCTATTATAGTCAACCATCCAGCCGACGTAAGTCACAGACGCGGCCGCTCCTAGCGCGGTATACTTAATCTTTAAGTCAAAATTATTTTCTATCGCTTGCAAAAAAAACAGGGCGGATACCCTTGTAAGGGTATTCGCACTGATAGCTTACCGGACCATATTAAGCGACGTCCCCGACGCTTCGCCAAATCAGAAAGCTATAAATCCATTCACACTCCAAATGCTGACGAAAGAAATGAGCCAATCCGATTAGCCGACAAACACAAGGTAGAGGCCTCCATCAAACCCTGCCTCCACAACTATATGCTGCCAGGTTTCTAACCCAGGCCTCTCACTGCCCAGAAATTAGGACGCTGACAACATAAGTTCCAAAGACCTTCCCAATCGTCTCTCCCCGGTCCTAGATAACCTTCGGCTTCTCGGTGGGTGTCCCTAGTCCTGGCAAAAACTAGGGACGCGGGCCTTAACCGAGACCTTTGAAGGCACTCTCGCCTTCCTTCTCAAAATTTCTCGCAATCAAATACACATAAGTATATATGTATACTTAATATCCACTCCGCTCTTTCTGCAGTCTAGTACAGAAAGGCCAGGTCTACATCTTGGCCCACCATAGCCTGGTTGATCGGACCAGGACTACGGCCCACCGCTTTATTATTTAACGGCAGTACTCTCGTTGGTTACGCAACGATAGGGTTTCTCCTGATAAGCACTCAATCAGGACCTCCCAAAATCTCAACCTTCACTATCCCACGGAGTAATTTTCTTGGGGCGGGTAACTCCGCGGTTCCGCAGCCAGGTTGCGCCGGCTAGCAGCCATCCAATGGGGTTACGCCCCATAGGTACTAACTTCTTTTCCGTTAGTTTGACCTTTGTTCAATATGTCTCAGAATTAGCACCAGTGGTTAAACGGGTGAGTCGCAAAACAAAATCACAGGCCCACTGCGCGATACGCAGGGGTCCGAAGGTATTTACCAGCCCTCCCTCAATAGGCATGGGATCCTTCGTACGCTTACAAACAAAATCACCGCTAAATCCACCAGGTCGTGACCCCTCACTTGATCAGAGCCAGCAACCTCTCACCCTGAGACATCTCTCGCCCTTCACTCATTGCGACTTTTTCAAACATTCCAAAGAGTGACCCCTTTTCGTCAGACTTTATCACTCATCAGGCAACTTACCATGTCATAAATCAGTTTACTCACCTTTGAAGGTGAGTCTCCCAACAACAAAAACATTCTCTTTTGCCAAAAATCCAAAGGGCTCTCATCATAAACAAAACACCCCCTCTTCCAAAAATCACGAGGGGTCTCGTCACAGAACAAAACACCCCCTCTTCCAAAAATCACGAGGGGCCTTATCATAACCTACATTGTCACAAAAGCATCCCCTTCTCCAAAATCCAAGGGGGCTTATCATAAACAAAATCACTGAGAGACCATCTTATGGGTCCTCATCACAACTTAGGCATTCAATAATCAACATGATATGCATTTTGAGCCTCCTGGATTCATAAATCTTCAAAATCCTCACAACCTTTCATAGACGGACTGCACTTCCTCCCCTTATACTCCGCCCTATCAGCTGCCCGTGGGCGAGTCGTACAAGTATACTGGGGAGTAGACAGTTTTACTTACAATCATATTCACAATACCCAAGATACATAAAATGTTTTTTACACATTGTCCACACAAACTCATTATACATCAGAGTACAACCACACATGTGAGAGGGACAAGTGATCGTCATGTATAAGAATGGTCCCTGAAAGAAACCTCATCATGATATACACTCAGGGAAATAAAATGTCTCACACAGAAAAAAATGTCTCGAAATCATAGCTCACTCAGCTCAAGCCACACCAAACCCACACTGACAACTACCCCTAGAATACATGTCAGATCTGTCTCTCAAAGGCCAGGGCGTAGGCCACCTAAATATGTACATGCCTCATCTAAACCACCCTGACCCTCAAAACCCCAACTCAGTAGGAACACAAAAGTTCAAATCTACACTAGTAGCAATCATCAAAAAGATCCTCTAAGTCTAAGAGGGTATCACACAGACCCTAAGCTGATGCCTCACAAGATACTCGCCCACCTATAWAGAYAAACCGACACTATCTCCTCAAYTCCTCCTGGTTTTGCCTATATAACTGAGTCMTAAGTCCATCTGYGGACTTCTCTAYTATCCTAYCYTGTCTATYATACATCTTACCCCCTGCCTCTGAGACCTTCCCTGCTGCCTTATCGTCAACGAACTTGAGACAGTCCAGAGCATGATGCACGCTCCTCTTGCAGTAGAAACATAGCTGATCAACCTTCCTCTTGAACTTCTTCTTCCTGGGCTGAGGAGGTGGTGATGAAGGAGATCCTGCCAAGGTACTGACAACCCCCTGTTGCTCTGATCGAGGAGCTGCGGTACTAACGACCTCCTGCTGCTCTGTCCCAGGAACCGGTCCCCCAGACCCAGATCCAGTAGCCCAAAACCCCAGTCTACTCCTCAAATCCCTTGTCACCGGGACGTACTCAGGTGTGTCCAACCTCTGAGGTTTCTTCTCGAGTGTCTCTCCTTACACTGTCATGGGCTGCTCCTCAATCTCCTCTGGCCCATACTCAGGCGTGCCCGTCCTCTGGAGCCTGCTCTCGATGGCACTCTCCGCCTCAATCCCTATCTCTCTCTCAAGAGGCTCCTCTATCCTCTGCTCAGGTGAAAACAAACTCACCTCCTCCCGCATAGTATGCACTGCCTCAAGGAGCACGCCCATGGATCCCTCTGCTGAGCCCTGAGCCGACTCACTGCTATATGGTGGCAGCCCCTCCTCTACTGCCAAAGGTACGACTGGGCCTGCCACCGCCACTGGCAGCGTCGCGAGATCAGTAGGGGCTCTAAACTCGAACGCCTCTCTCTCTGCCTGTCTCTGGGCTCTCGCCTCCTCTGGCTCCAGGATAACTCTCCCCATAGGTGGCTCCTGGCGAGGCTCTGTTGCAGATGGCTTTCCTGGCAATCCCTGTCCTGGCTGCCTCTGCTCTCCCTGCCTGCTGCTCTCTGGCCTGTCCATCCTTCCCTGGGTTTGCTGCCTCAGACTCTCGATGATAGCTGCCTGGCAAGCCACCAAGGCCCTGAGTTCCTGAATTTCCATCTCCATAGCCTCCAGGCGTACTCCATGGCTTGCTTCCTTCATCTTCTTCCCTGTCAGATCGC